TACTTCTCAAAAGTTAAAAAAAAAAATGACTATATAAAATATTGACGAAGATATAAAAAATAATGTCAAGATAAAAGTAAAATATGAAAGTAAAATAAATTTCATATAAATTGAAATTATTTATTTTGACACATTTAGGATAGTCTTGAAAATTCGTGAACCAAAAATAGTAATGCATGCATGGTAATATTAGGAGATGCAACAATAATTTATATTGGACAATATATGAGATGAGTACCTTCAATCAACCAATGTTGGACAATATATATAGAGAAATGGGTACATTTAATCGATGTTAATGTTCCTAATCTTTTTCAATTTATTTTTGAAATAATCATGACTTTAAAGGCATTTTCAAACATTTATTTATTTGTTGTGCCATTTTATCCAAATGAAAAATATAATCCAAGTATTATGAAATATTAAACTTGATTAGCGTCCACTATGATGAAAATAGTCGAGAATGAAACAATCAAACATAGTTGGTTAGTTTTCAATCAACAATAAGAAAAACTATGACTACAAATGATAGTTATAACATATTCGACTTATTTTCAAAGAGCATAACGCAAAAAGAAGACATTAAAAAACTATATTATGATGACAATGATAATGATCGTTATTTTTAAGCATAATGAGTTATCATTAGATAACAAAATCAAAGACGACATAAATTTCTTTAGCATTTAAAATTTCAAAAAAAAATAAAATAATTTTACTGTGGATTTTCCCAATATTTTTTATTTAATTTTATGTCACAGTTTGATAAAAAGTATTAAATATTATATTCCATTATTTAATACATTTATTATTGATTATTATAAAATAAATAATTTTTTTATTAACTAATGGAATGAAAATTATATTATATTATTAAATGTTAATTTAATAATAAAAACAATTTTAAGTAAAGAAAAAATAATTAATATCACGTGCGTAGCACGAGTTACGTTACAAATATATCACTCAGTAAGTGCAATGTGAAGAACTCTGTCATAATCATCATGGCATGCACTTTCTTATACAGTTATACAAATACAATGCATGCTTTAAGAAAGACCTCATTCTATCATACCTTTTGGACTCGTATATTTGTAAGAACAACGTTCAGTCAACATGCATATTATGTAATATACTCCAAACTCTGATTGCAGGAAGATGAAAGGATCAGAAAAAACAGGCTTGGACTACTACGAAAAATATCCGATCTTCCAAAGGGAATAGTGGACCTCTCAATTTTGCCGGGCTTCTAAACCCTTGGTTTTGGTTTGTAGGAGTTTTCACTATCACTGCGAGAGCGAGAAGGTGTATGTCGGTACACCGTCCAAGAAATTGTGAAGAACCTTACCCAGAGGTACTTGCTATAGGAGTCAGCTGGTGAGAATATTTTAGTCGTAGCATTTTTTCTATTCTTTTGGGTCGTGCTCGTGCAGAACCAGAATGTACTTGCAGTTTGGTTATCCTCCAACTATAGTGAGTTTAATTCTTCAAATTTGGTAAGAAGTACAAGGCTCAAGCAGTGTTTCAAAAAGTGCTAGGCTCCAATCAAGTGAAGATTGGGTCTTGACCACTATGAAGTGCATGAATGGGCTGACAAGGGACAACCCTTGAGGGGACTCTATTTCTTATTTAAAGATTCTACTAAATACTTGATGCACCCTTTACTTACATTAAGATGTTTTGTAAGAAAACTGAATGTGGGCAAGCATTAATGTTCTTTTATTAGATAATAAAATCTGAAAATTAGGCTGTTCTGTAACAAATTATTACTATGATTTATGTTAGAGAATGGACTTATGGGTTATGACCTGTTTTAACAAAAATAAAATAAAATAAATAAAATTAATCAAATATTAATATGTATAAATACTGGCAACAAAAATGCTTTAATAGTAAAACATGTGATTTGAGTTTTATTATCCTCAGAACAACGCGTTACACTATCACGGAAAGTGTTGTTAAATTAAATGAGCATGGTTCGACTCGGCTCGAGCTTGGCCCATTAAGGCTAGAGTTCGATGCCTTAACGAGCCGAGCTCGAGCTCACTAAAAGCTTGTTTGGCTATCGAGCCGAGTTTGGCTCGGCTAGATAAGGTTTGAACGTTGAACTTTTGTATAATTTTTTATGATTCGGATTGTTAAGGCTCAAGCTCGAGGCCTTAACAAGCCGAGATCAAGCTCGATTTTAGGTTCGTTAAGAGCTCGAGTTCGAGCTCGAGCACCCTAAGGTTGAGCTCAGCTCGGCTCGTTTACTACCCTCATTAGAATATACGAGGTATATAATGGGCTGCAGAATACTTTACGCTATCATGTGACCCAACACTTTTACCAGAGTCCGGGCCAGCCCAGTTGAAGTCTTAAGGGCCAGTGGCATAAACTGGGCTGGATACAACCTATCTTTGTGCCGCCAAAGAGAACCTACGTAAAGCTTTTCCCCACGTATTTTGACCCGACCCGTAAAAAAATCCATCTGCGGGATCTGCCAAGTAGGTTGTATCGGCCAGCTGAACAAGTTCGCAGTAATCGTTGCCGCTGAATTCGCCACCGTCGTCGATGGCCGAGGAAGAGATTAGGGCAGAATTAGAGGCAGTCGAGGCGGTGTACGGTGGCGATTGCCTGGTCATCGAAGCTTACCCTCCCCATATCCATGTCCACCTTAAGCCGCGCACGGCCGAGGTCTCCTCTCAACAGGTACCTCCGTTTTCTGGTTTAGAAAGCATTGATCGTCGAGATTTGCGGACTGATGACTATGTTTACCCTATGATCATATCCTCCTTTCGATTTTTGTGATTGATTTTTTCCGGCGATAGTCTTGTCTTGTTATTAACTTGCTACTGCTGAATATCAGCATGTGGGTTCTTGATAGGCTGAGACTGTTTTCTAGCCTGAAATTCACAAGAATGAAGCCTTCGATGAAGAAGATGGTCTCATGGTTTGATGACTTAATATATTATGAATAATCAAGAAGGCATTTCCAGTCGATATTTGGTGACATTGATGATTATGTTACCCAATGATTATTTCCTCATTTTGATTTTTTGTGATTGAAATTTTGAACGATTTTCTTTTATTCATGATTACTTTTGTCCCGTGATAGTCTTATCTTGATAGTAACTTGCAACTGTTAAGCATGAGCAACTGAAGCCTCTGATTTTTTGGTATTGAGATATAGGACTTTTTTTCAACAAAGAAGATTGTCTCGCGGTTTTCTGACTTGATGTTATGTAATGTAATAATCAAGATTAAGTGAATTGGTTCAATTTCGTTTCAAATCAGAAATCTTGTTGCTATCATTCTTGGGATATTGCCGGTGTCAATGGTTAATCTTCTTCCTTCTGAATATGATTTATTTTATGTTTTTGATACATATACTTATTTGTCTGGTCATGTTGCGGCTAGTTCTTCTTTTCCTTGAATCTACTACAGGCTATATGCCACCATACTTTTTTGCTGGCAACTTATTTGTTTTTGTTAATCTTTTCAATTTTTTTTTCTTCCGTTTTCTTCAGCTGCCATTGAAATATTTTTTGATACAAAATCTAGATGAGTTTAACATTGACACTGATTTCTTCTGCAGTTTGTCGAAGCAACTATCGGAATGCGAGCTGGTCCTCAGGTAGTAAACTCAGTGTAGGCATTTCCATTTTCTTTAGAATGTCCATATCATTGAAACAGTACGCGTCAATGTTGGAGAGCAAACCATTGTTGTACTTATTGTCAAATAATTAATTCTTTATTGCAGTACCCTGAAAAGCCACCAGAAATTAGTGTTATTAATTCCAAGGGTCTTGATGAGCAGAGGCAGAAACATCTTCTAGCTAGCATCCGTGCAGAAGCTTCAGAACTAGCTTCTTGCTTGATGCTCGTGGCACTTTGTGAGGTAACGATAATGGCTTTTGATAATTCTCTTGGTTTACTTTTTGTGATGCCTTGATTTTTCATGTGTGATCATACCCATGTCAAGATGTTCATAGCTTCATGGCCTTGTTAGGAAGCAGTGCAGAGGCTCTCTAGTATGAACCACCCTGATGGGGACTGTCCATTATGTTTACATCCATTACTAGGTGATGAAGATGCTGATAGCAGCTCATTACCCTTTATGAAGTTAATGTCTTGTTTTCATTGCTTTCATTGGTAAGTTATATTTGATAGAGTTACTCTTTTGAATTTCGGATGGTCTCATCTTGTTTAATGGGAACTTGAAAATTATTAATCTATTGTTTGCTTTTCTCCAATTGTTGCAGTGATTGCATCATCAGATGGTGGAAATGGTCCCAGGTCCAAAGTGATCAAGAGGTTAAGAGTTCATCATCTTCAAGTTCTTCTAGGATAATGCATCAAAAGCCAGGTGTGCTAACTAAATTATTCATCCAAAACGTCCCTAGAAGAAACTCTATCATTTAT